TTAATACAAAGAATACAACATGTTTTTTAATCTTCGAAAAAAAGTTGTTACTGCTGTTTTCATGTTCAAGTTTGTGGCCTTCTCCAAATCTTTCACTATATCTCTTTTATCACTACCCCTGTAGAAGTATGAAAAATTACAATTTTTTCTCATAAAATCTGATATTACCTAAAGATATCAAATACAAATTATAAACTATTATGTATCAAACTTTAAAGCATATTCTTATCTAAGAACTTGTGTAGACAAGAATACTAAATTAAAAGCAACCACTAGCTGCTTATTAAATATAATCATTAAGTGGTGACGGACTGCCGTACCCTTATACATATATTTTTCAATATGACTGAAAAAATTAACTACAATGGTAAAATAATACAAAGTACTCCAAAGACTTCTTCCCTAGGTAGTCATAGCTGGTGGATGAATTATGGAAATGAAACAAAAAGGAAATTTATCTCTAGTCCTGAAATATCAGAAAAGTCATGTGCCAAATGTGAGGACGAGATTGTGGAAAAGAGCAAAGTTGAATGCCAAAGCTGGAAGCTGTATTTCTGTGCAAGGTGTTCGGGTCTGTCAACAACAGTAATTGATCTTATGTTAAATGGAGAACTTCAGGACTATAGGTATAATTGTAAAAGTTGTAAACAAACAATTCCAACGTTAGAGAACATTGACAAAAAACTATCAAAAATCAGTGATCAACAAGAAAGAAGAATGTCCAGCCTAGAAGAAAAGGTAAACAGAATAGAAATATCCACAAAAAATATAATTAAAGAAGAAATAAAGGATATCAAAAACAATATTATGACGGACTTTGAAGAAAAAATATGTCGTATGATACAGGCCAGGACTAATGAGATGGACGACCGAAGGAGGCGTGAATTAAATATTGTGGTATTTAACCTACCGGAAGGAGGTGACAAAACAGGTAAAGAAAACAAGAAATACGATGAGGACAACCTATGTGAAATTGCGAAAGACATTGGTCTGGACAACATAGAAATAGAAACAAGTTATAGACTAGGGAAAAAGAAAGACACTGAAAAAAATTGTAGAGTTTTAAAAGTAATTTTGAAAGACAGGAAACAGAGAAAACATTTACCGGAACACTCAAAAGAAATATCAAAAAAATCTAGTAAGAAATTTAGCAATGTTGTACTTTTCAAAGACCTTACACTTTAATAAAGACAAGAAAGAAAATCTAAACGTGAAAAAATATAAAAGGAAGGAACAATGAGCAGCATATAAACCCACTATTATATCCACCAGCCTCAGGTAGCAGTCCGAGACTAGAAATAAAAGGGTTCAGTCAAAATAATATACAAGATCCGTTCAGCCAAAATACCATTAACAACATCAATATGACCATTGAAGATCAAAATGACCTAACAGTAATTGGAGGTCTACCTATGGATAATTGAGAAATACACTATAAGGTGGAAAGCAGCCACGTGAACATTGAGTTTTTTAACCCCGACCTAAATAGGGGAAACGTTTTTCATTGTACAAATTCTTTTAAACATGGGAATACACACGTTTTAAACAGTTCTAAGTCAAATTATTTTAACAAATTCGCCAAAGATGAGTTAAATGTACTATACACAAATGCTGACTGTCTCACTAAAAAAACAGGAATTGGAAGCCCTAATTGAAGAAAACAACTTTGATATTATAGCCATTACAGAAATATATCCAAAAAAGTCAAGTATTGACCATACAAATGAACTGATCTACAAAATTTCAGGATATGATGTATTTCTTGGCGAAAATGGTAAAAGAGGTGTAATCATATATGCTAAAAAAAATAGTCAACTTACGTAAATGACTTTGAGGAAGCACTTTGGGTTTTTATAAACCTTAAAGGAAAAGACAGGCTCCTTTTCGGATGTATTTATAGGAGTCCAAATTGTGAGGTATTAAATGTAAATAAAATGTTTGATATGATGAAAGAAATGTGTAAATTGAAATATTCCCATTTTTTAACCGTTGGTGACTTTAATATGAAAAGTATAAACTAGGACAATATGTTAAGTCTAACAAATGAAATGACATTAGACTCAGTGTACTTAGAATGTACAAAAGACTTGTTTTTATTCCAACATGTAAAAGAACCAACAAGATACCGTCATGGACAAGAACCATCTATTCTAGACTTAAGTTTTACAAATGAAGGAGAAATGATCAGTGAACTAAAATATCATTCCAGTTTAGGAAAAAGTGATCATATACTCATAACTTTCAAGTTAGTTTGCTGTAAAAGAAACAAAACTGATATAAAACAAAAACTTAACTATAATAAATGCAATTTCAGTGTTGTGAAAAATGAATTAAGTATAATGGACTGGTCAACCATGGACAATATGGATATTCAGTTTCTTGGAGATTATTTGCAGATACCCTTTCCAATTGCATCGAAAAAAGCATACCAAAAGTAAAAATACCTCCAACACAAAAGAATCGCTATATCGACAGGGAAACCTCCCACGCTATTAAAGAAAAAGGAGTAAATGGATCAAATATAAATACAATAAGAACCATCACACATAATAATGATTACAAGATAGCACGGAATAAGGTAGGGATGCACCTGAAGCTCTCCAAATACAAGTATGAGCAGAATATTGCAGATAATATTAAACAAAATCCAAAAATATTTTGGAAATACATCCGTGAGAAATCAAAATCTATATCTGGAATAAACATAATTGATATAGATGGAGAGAAATGTTCAGATGACTTAAAAATTGCTGAGGAATTTAACAGACATTTCATATCGGTATTTACAATGGAAACAGAGCCAATGCCAATAGCAGAAAATAAAACAAACAAATTATTAAGTGATACTGAAATTAATGAAAATATCATAATGAAACCCATCAAAGAAATTAGTCCCTCAAAATCTGAAGGTCCAGACTCTATTCATCCAAAAGTTGTATTCGAATGTAGAGAAGAACTGTGTGGTGATTTGAATAAATTGTACATGAAATCATTGGACACAAATAAACTGCCAAGAGAATGTTACTACAATCTTCAAAGCAGGGAACAAAAATAATGTAGCAAACTACCGTCCAATAAGCGGATAACATCAATTATATGTAGAATTATGGAAATAAAATAATCAGAAATGCTATTGTAAATAATTTAGAGGAAAATAATCTACTGTCTATATATCAACATGGTTTAAGGAAAGGAAGGTCTTGTACCACACAACTTTTAGAATGTATTGAAGACTTGTCTAAACAATAGATGAAGGGTACAATGTTGATATTGTGTATCTCGATTTCAAAGCTGCATTCGATAAAGTCCCTCACAGACGACTACTAAATAAGGTCTGGAGCCTAGGTATAAGGGGTAAAGTTTATGCATGGATTAAGAACTTTTTGGAAAACAGACAACAAAGAGTAAAGATGAATGGAACATTTTCAGGATGGCAAACAGTAACAAGTGGTGTCCCCCAGGGTAGTGTTCTAGGACCTATTCTATTCCTTATATTTATAAACGACCTTCCAGATGTAATTACGTGTACAGCCAAACCGTTTGCAGATGACACTAAACTATATTCAGTAATTAATGGGCACAATGATGAAACTCATCTCCAGGACAACATCAACATATTTGAAGCATGTAATTGGGCAAATAAATGGAAAATGATATTCAACACAAAAAAATGTAAAACCATGCATATTGGACAAAACACAACATGTGATTATTTTATGAAAGACTCGAGCAATAATATCTGTAAAATTCAACAAGTAAATGAAGAAAAAGACCTGGTCGTGATCTTCGACTGCAAAATGACATTCAGTAAACATATAAGCAGTAAAGTAAATAAGGCATAGAAAATTTGGGATTAATCGTTAAAAACTTCACTTTTATGAACAAAGAAATGTTTCTTCAGCTCTACAAATCTCTTGTAAGACCTCACCTTGAGTACAGTCCTGCAATCTGGTCACCTAAATTTAAAAAAAGATGCAGTATCCATTGAAAATGTGCAAAGAAGAGCCACTAGAGTACTAAGTGAATTAGCTGGAAAAGAATACTAGTATAGCGAGAGACTGTTGCAATTAGGCATTCCAACTTTAGAATACAGAAGAAATAGAGCAGATATGATTGAAACTTATAAAATAGTTAACAACATTGACAAAATAGATAAGAAAAATATTCAAAATATGAGAAGGAACCACAACCAGAGGTTACAAGTATAAAATATCTAAGCCAATGGCAAGAAATAACACAAGGAAAAACACTTTGAGCCATAGAGTTGTGGATGCTTGGAATGCGTTAAATCCTGAGGTAGTAGAGGCTACATCATTGAATTCATTTAAGACAAGACTGAATAAACTGTGGAATTGCCAGAATAAGTTTCATGCAAATTGTTACCAAACCCAGTGAAGTTATAATAATAGCTGGGTAAACAATAAATTAACAGATACACGTATCTATAGTAGTTTTTAAAAGATATTTTATAGGGGTGTAATCGATTCAATCGATATCGGTGTATCAACGATCTTTGTTATCCGATTCGATTTCGATTCCATTTTTTAAATATCGGATATCGAATGCACACACATTTCTAGCTAAAAAGACTTCAGCAAGCAGGTTTTATAGTACTGATAACCAAACTTCAAAATAAAAGCGACATATAAAGTTATGGAAGCCAGAACTAACATAATTATTTCAACAAGGTTAGCTTTTAAAAAAGCTAGTAGCGACTCGCTTCGTAATTTTTTTCTAGGGGTGTGTGTAAATGTAAAAATGACAGTTCTGTTAGCTGAAGAGACTTCAGCGAACATCAAAATAAAAGTGACATATAAATTTATGAAATATGATAAACAAGATCAACAAGGAAAGGCGGCGTTCAATGAAAGCCATTTCTCTAAGTTTAACAGAGGAATATGAGTATATATGAAGATGCATGTAAACAGATAGAATGAAGTCCCTATGTCTATGCACATTTACTATATGGCCTGTTGATCTTGACCAAAAAAATGTTAGATAGGTAGAATTCATAAAGATGTCTCTTTATACGAAGTTAAGTTGTAATATGTTATTATGCCCCCACTTCGAAGAAGAGGGGGTATATTGCTTTGCACTTGTCGGTCCGTCGGTCCGTAGACCAAATGGTTTCCGAGTGATAACTAAAGAACCCTTAGGCCTAGGAACTTCAAACTTGGTATGGTGATTGGTCATGACCAGTAGATGACCCCTATTGATTTTGGGGTCAAGGGGTCAAAGGTCAAGGTCACATTGACCTTGTAAGCAAAAACGGTTTCCGATCAATAACTAAAGAACCTTAAGGCCTAGGAACTTCAAACTTGGTATGGTGATTGGTCATGATCAGTAGATGACCCCTATTGATTTTGGGGTCAAGGGGTCAAAGGTCAAGGTCACATTGACCTCTTGGGTAAAAACGGTTTCCGATCAATAACTAAAGAACCCTTAGGCCTAGGAACTTCAAACTTGGTATGGTGATTGGTCATGACCAGTAGATGACCCCTATTGATTTTGGGGTCAAGGGGTCAAAGGTCAAGGTCACATTGACCTTGTAAGCAAAAACGGTTTCCGATCAATAACTAAAGAACCTTAAGGCCTAGGAACTTCAAACTTGGTATGGTGATTGGTCATGATCAGTAGATGACCCCTATTGATTTTGGGGTCAAGGGGTCAAAGGTCAAGGTCACATTGACCTCTTGGGTAAAAACGGTTTCCGATCAATAACTAAAGATCCCTTAGGCCTAGGAACTTCAAACTTGGTATGGTGATTGGTTATGACCAGCAGATGACCCCTATTGATTTTGGGGTTAAGGGATCAAAGGCCAAGGTCACATTGACCTTGTATGTAAAAACGATTTCCGATCAATAACTAAAGAACCCTTAGGCCTAGTGACTCTAAACTTGATATGGTGATTGGTCATGATCAGTAGATGACCCCTATTGATTTTGGGGTCAAAGGTCAAGGTCACATTGACCTCTTAGGTAAAAACGATTTCCGATCAATAACTAAAGAACCCTTAGGCCTAGGAACTTCAAACTTGGTATGGTGATTGGTCATGACCAGCAGATGACCCCTATTGATTTTGGGGTTAAGGGGTCAAAGGTCAAGTTCACATTGACCTTGTAGGTAAAAACGGTTTCCGATCAATAACTAAAGAACCCTTAGGCCTAGGAACTATAAACTTGGTATGGTGATTGGTCATGACCAGCAGATGACCTATTGATTTTGGGGTCAAGGGGTCAAAGGT